GGGAGCGGGGGCTGTGCCTCACCCTGAATGTGCCCCCCAAAGGCATTTCCACAGATAGTCTGTGGTGCTCTGACCTTGTCTGTGAATCTGCCTGAGGCCAGGAAGGCTGGGTAGAATTCTCCTGAAAGTTTTCCCTTCGATACGGCACCCTTAGCTCAGAAAGACTGGTGCCTCCAGAGCACTCGGCGCTGCCCTTGGTGCGGGAGGTGGGCAGGCCCTGGCTGGTGGGCGTCACACTGGAGCTGGAAAGACATCAGTTGGGAAAGGTAACGGGTCCGTGGGGTCTCTGTCTTACGGTTACAGCAGCATGGCACCTACAGAATCTCACAATGTAAACCTCAATTTAAAAGCCCTGCGTGCTCCGGGCCATCTGAGTTCCATGGCTGAGTGCCATCTCGTGCACCAGGAGGCCGAGGTTTGATTCTGGGTCAGGGCACAGGCCGGGTGTGGGCTCCATCCCCCTGGGGGCATGCAGGAGGCAGCCGATGGGTGTTTGTCATCCATCTTTCTCTCTCTCCTCTCCTTTCCTCTCTCTCCAAAATCAATAAAAACAGATTTGAAATAGTTTAAAAAGCAACTAAAAAAGATAAAAACCCACCCCTTCCAGAGCAGAACCCAGGTGCCTGGGCTGCGGGGGTGTTGCTCACCCAGGCGTCGAGTTACCTGTTAGCGTCTGAGGGACAGAACGCATCACCTCCCCTCTGTGTTGGTTTTCTTTGCTGAACAGTGATGCCACAGCCACTCACCTGCCAGCCCTCCCCCTCCTCTTCCTCTGCTTCCTCCCTCTGAGCAGAGGCGAGCTTCCTGGGAGCCTGGCTCTGGGGCTTGTACTCCCAGGAGCCCAGGGTCTGGCAGAGCCAAGGAGACAACGTGGGAGTCGGCGGAGCACAGGCCCATCCCCACCCGCCGGCTCCGTGCCACGGGCTCTGGTGCAAAGTAGTGAAGTCAGGATGCCAGCCCCTGGGGAGGCGGAGACACCTGCTGTCCTACCCAGGCTCCCAGGTCCTGGCAGAGCCTCCTGGGACCCACCCAGACCAGATCTTGGGGTGTGTTCTGTCCCCCCCATTCCAGGTAAAGCTGCCCTGAGCGCAGCACCTTCTTCACAGCACTGTCCCCTCCCCGTGTGGGGGCCCCCCTTCCGTGTCAAGGCCGCATGCTGGCCCCTAAGGCACCGAGGACAGACCAGGCCTGGCCCACCGCTCTGGCGATCAGCTCTGACTAGGAGCTGAGCTCTCATTACCAACAGCACCCCTGCCCCCCTCCGCCCCCACTCCCCACAGTGAAAAACACTGAAGTAGAAACAGCAGGAGATGAGAGGTGCCTGCCTCCCAGCTGCCAGCTGTGGAGCGGGAACCAGGACCCAAACCCCACGGCTTGCTCCGTGACAGCCCCGGCGGTCCCCGCTGCTGTGCCAAGGCGGCTGATTCTGCCGGAGTCTGTGGCACCGGCAGCTGGTCCTTCAGTGGGCGCAGGGCCTTCTGTGACCCCAGGGAACGGCCTCTGCACCTGGGCCTGGGGCCTGGGGGTTCCTGGGGGGGGGGGGGCTCCTGGGTCACCGGCCAGCTGCTTCCAAACCCACCGAGAGGAAGAGCGTTTATCTGAGCTCAACAAAGACAGAGCCCGCAGAGGCGGACAGACAGAGTCTCAGGACAGCCAGCAAGCTCACCTGCCAGCCCGCACTAGAAGCAGGGCAAATGTCCAGGTCCCAAAACCCATGCAAGTGCTCGGGACGTGCATGCACGCTTCCTGGTCAATTACCGAGTCAGCTCTGCTCTGAGTTGTTTTTTAAATACATTTTTATTGATTTTAAATATTTTTTAATTGATTTCAGAGAAGGAGGGAAAGGGGAGAGATAGAAACATTAATGATGAGAGAGAATTCTTAATTGCTGCCTCCTGCACGCCACCCGTTGGGGACTGAGCCCACAACCCAGGGCTGGGAACGGAGGTGCGTTCCCACAGCCCCTCAGGCATGTGCCCTGACCAGGAATCGAACCCTGGGTCCTGGGTCCTGGCTGGACCGTAGAGCCATGCCACTGGGCTGCTCTGAGTTCTTACGGCACATGAACCCACGGGACCCACCCGTGTGAGCGGACTGCTCGGCGTCACACCTCCTACCTGCAAAGCCAGTTACTGACCGGACCTGTACCCCCAGACAAAAGCTCTGAATTAGAACAGTGGGGACCTCGGGACAGGACGGTGGAGTTTGGATGCATAAGGACAGGCACTTCTCATGTGATGAAGTGACCTGTGAATTCACTGTGATTTCTGTCGTATTTTCTATTGCAGGCATGGCGGCTCCACCTGCCACCACTAGAGACAAAGGCAGCGATACAGCAAGAGCCCTGAGGGCCACCTGAGCCGGCCCTGGAAGGCAGGATGGCAGCTGGAGCTGGGGCTGGCAGGACCTGCTGGGGGCCCATCTGCCCACAGCTGAGGATCCTTGCCTTCTCTGGGCTCTGACATCCTGGCTTCCGACCCCACCCCCCACCTGCCCAGCAGGGGCCCAGCTGTGGCCTCCCTGCCCTGTCTTCCCAGGGTTTCCTCCAGGTGGCGCCAGGGGACTGGGTGTGGGCAGCAACCTCAGTGTGGCCTTCCGGGCGGGGTGACTGCAGGGCACCGCTGGCCAGTGCAGATGGGGAAGGCAGTCGCCCGGTGGGCCCTGGGCAAACCTGACTGGAGCCCCACAGCAACCTGCCCCCGACCTAGGCTGGCTCTGCTGTGCACCCCATGTTGCCCAACCCCACAGCGACAGGGACGCAGCTGGCCCTGAGGCCCCTCCCCCTGCTGTTATGGCTTCTCCCTGCTTACCCCGTTAGACCTGCAGGCTGGGTGCTTCTCCCCGCCTCTGCCTCCTGAGATGGGATGGACTCTGAGCCCAGTTCCCAGAGGCCTGGGCCCGGCTGGCAGTTCTCTCAGCCCACAGGCCCTCCTTCCAAATGCAAGTCCCCCTGTGTATATGGGAGCCCCCCAACACACATGGGGGGCTTGTCCCTCTGTTTTCCCAACAGAGGCCTGAGGTCTACTTTCTTCCCCCACCCACAACCAGGCCTCTCGGCCGCCCACAGCAAAGGTTCCAGGCCCCTGGGTGGGGGTGTGGCCGATGGCAGCTGGGCAGGCTGAGGAGAGGCGGCTAGCATGCTGAGGGTGTGCAAGCTGAGGGCAGGCGGTGGGCGTGCAGGCTGAGGGGAGCCGCTCCGGTGGTAGCTGGGCACCCCTTAGGCGAGGCAGCACCCCAGGGAGTGGCTGGGAGCCTGGCAAAGGCCCCTGGGTCCTTCCCCCGTATGGCCTGCACTTTGGGGCCTGGCCCCAGGAGTCCGTGTATTTGCCTTCCTCCCAGGTCACTGAGCGGCAGGGAGCGTGGGTGCCGGGTGGGCCCAGCTGCCACCGCCCGAGGCGGCCATTGTCAGCCGCGGTGGGCGCCCGGGCCCTCGTCCACCTCAGCCTTCTGAGTGAGGCTGGGAACGGAGGTGCGTTCCTCAGCCAGCACCTCACGCATCCCATGCTCACAGCCCACAGCCCACAGCCCACAGGGAGGGGTCACCTCGAGTTTCTGTTCATTCTAGCCGCCTTCAGAGCCACCCCTCTGCTGGCCTCTTTTTTTAATGTATTTTTTATTGATTTAAGAGAGGAGAGGGGGTGAGAGGTAGAAACATCCATGATGAAAGAGAATCCTGGATCGGCTGCTTCCTGCACGCCCCACACTGGGGATCAAGACTGTGACCCAGACAGGTGCCCTGACTGGAATCGAACCTGTAACCTCCTGGTTCCTAGGTTGATGCTCCACCACTGAGTCATGCGGGCCGGGCTCTGCTGGGTTCTTGATTCTCCAAAATGAGACCAAGCGGACGGAGAGGGGGTTGGTTTCATTCCCCTGTGGGGTGACTACGTACGATGTTTGAATTCTCACCCAATGTCTCCCTGGGCCCTCCGGCTAGATGCTGCCCTGATTATGGACAAAGCCGGCTGCTCAGCTCTCGCCGGGAAGCATGCACTCACCACCAGGAACTGGAAAGTCCTTTTCTTCATCTAGTTCGACCCCCTCAGCCCAGGCTCCCGTGCCCTCCTCTCTGTCTCTCCACATGGTCCACCGGAGACCCGGGGGGTGGGGGGAGGCTTAGGCTGCCATGTGGAGCGGGCCCTTGAAGATGGGAAGGGGGTCAGTGTGACGCGGCTCATGCCATCCAGCTGGCAGGCAGACAGGTCCCAAACGCCATGCCCCGTGTTGAGCTCAGGGAAGTCCACACTCATCAGAGCCTCGGTTTAGACAGTGTAAATGGGCTCAACAGAGTCTACCAGCCACGCAATTCCAGGAGCAGAGACAATGGCCAGAGGGAGCCTGGACAGCCCAGGCCTGAGCTGGCGGGAGCCATGGATCCTGGCCACACGGCTGACCCCCCTGGAAGCCGGCCGGCCCTCTGACCACCAGCAGCTCTGACTGCGTTTTGAATTGGATACAAAGGAACAGTTTAAAGTCTTCACATTCCAGATGAAACCATGGAGAGACGTGCTCCTCCACCTCATCCCTGTTCCTGCAGTGAAACGGGAGACGGGGACCTGGACAGACAGGGACCTGGACAGACGGGGCCGCTCCCTGCTGGGGGGCTGGTGCAAAGGAGGCGAGTGCTCGGCTGGGCAGGAAGATGTGGGGTCAGGCTCTGGGGCCACTGATCACACACACCATCCACACACATCACGCCATCCACACACATCACGCTATTCACACACATCATGCTATCCACACGCAACGCCCTTTCGACACTTCCTAGCCTGGTGCTCGTCGGCTCTGTTGTGGGTGAGGTTGCTGTTGGATCCCAGCCCCCACGCCCACTCATGACCTTGGAGAAAGCTCAGGCGTTACCCTGGGCCCCTCCTGCCAGCCCAGGTGCTTGGCCACCGGACACTTCAGAAGCCAGGGCTGAGGCCCTGCCCAGCACCAGGACTTGCTTCTTTGGAGGGCGGGCAGCTGGGCTCAGGGTGAGAGGGACCTGGGCCCCCACACACCTTTGCTGAATCTTTATTGCACTTCCATCACATTGCAACTATTCCACAACAATCACCAGGGTAGGGCCCGGGTGACACAGTCACACGGGTCCATCGAAGCCTGGCCCTCGGCCGCCTCCCGGAAGGTCCCGGGCACCGGAGTGCGGCGCTGAGAAACAGCAGCTGTCGTTTCGTCACTGAGAAACGTGTGTCCGCCATCCACGCTGGCCTCAGGAGCCGGGGTCGCAGAGGGCCTCCCAGTGCGGCCGGGAAGGGGGAGGAGAGTTTTTGTTTTAAGTTAAGTCCACAGCGCGAGAGCCTGGCGGGGAGCCTGGCGCAGGGCGGCTGTCCGTGAGTCTGGGGTCTGGTCTCTGTTTATAGACAAATTGTCTGAGTATAAATACAAAACAGCAGGTAAAGGCTCCTTCCGCACAAAAGGGTGGGCGCCTGCTGCTGGGCCGCCTGTCCCTCAGCCGCGTGCTCCCTGCACAGCCACTCCGTCTCTAAAGCCAGTGGAGCGGGTCCTGGGACCCACGGCTGGAGGACCTGCGGCCGGAGGACCCACGGCCGAGTCGGCTTGGGTGTCCTGTCCGTCCCCGGCACCAGCCGGCGGCTGTGGTCACTACCTGTCGGCCGAGCCTCTGTGCCCGGGGTCCAGGGGGTGGAGGTCGTCCTGCACCACGTGGCCCAGCCCGTCCTTCTCCACGCAGGTGCCCACGGCCTGCAGCACCAGGCGCAGCCGCCGGTCCAGGGCCTGCAGGTGCGGCTGGAATAGCACGGGCGCCACCCGGTCCTGCCGCAGGGACTCGGCCATCAGCAGGCTCAGCTTGTACTCCTCCCTGGCCAGCAGCTGCAGCCGCAGGTAGGTGGACTTGCGGATCCTGTGGGAGGAGGGAGACCTCAGGTGGGGACGGCCCAGGGTGCATGGCCTGCCTCCCAGAGGCACAACCAGGAGACGGGTGGTCCTGTGGGCCCTGCAGGCACCCATCACCCAGGCAATCGCCAGGGAAGCGGGACGGCCTGCTCACGGGGACAGAGGCCCCCTGGCCCAGCACACCGGGCTGCACAGGGCGGAGGGCCGTACCTGCAGCACTGCTGTAAAGGAACCAGAATGGAAAGCTCATCGTGGGAGTATTTTCCAAACCTGCAGGAAGAAAAGCAGATTGTCCAGGGTGGCCGCAGGAGGCCGTGTGCAGAGCCTGTGGCCCCAGCAGCCACGGGGACGTGAGCTAGGGCAAGCTGACGCAGAGCCGGGGCGGCAGGACCCTGCCTTTTGGGCAGTGAGCCCCAGGTCCTAGGCAGGCTGAGTGGACGGCGGGAGTCAGCCAGGTCCACACAGCAACACCCCATTACAGCTGGGGACACACAACCCCCATCTGTGAACCTCCAGGTGCCCAAAGCTGGCTGCTCTGAGGCATCAGGCACACACGGCCCTAGCCATCTGCACTGGGGTCCCCATGGCACACCCCTCCCCGTACACCAGGGACTGCCCCTCACGGCCCCGACTGGGGAGAGCCGATGTCGCTGCTGCCGCCCTGGTTCCTACTTGCTGGGCAGACGCCCGGCTGCTCCTCACAGCCCTGCCCTGGTGGCCAGCAGTCTCTTGGGGCCTCAGTTTCCCCAGGACAACATGTGGTACAGCAGAGCCAGCTCACTGAGAAGCAGGTGAGATAGGGTGACATCATATACCCTCCTGCCCACAGGCCTCTCAGAGTGGGCCTTGGGGAGGGCCCTGTCCCTCCATCAGGGGGGCTCCGGGAGGCGGGGCTCCGAGAAGGGGGCTCCGGGAGGCGGGGGTGGGGGGGTGTCCAGGAGGTGGGGCTCCAGGGGCGAGGCCCTCTGAGGGCGAGGCTCCGGGAGGCGAGAGGCGGAGGTGGCAGGCTCACCCTCTCCCGTTGTCCAGGTGGACGATGAAGGTGTCGTTCCCAAACTTCTCAAAAGTCTCGTAGTGATGGCGGTCCATGTTCCCTGCGGAGGAGAGCAGCCGGGTCACGTCCGCCGCAGCTCCGAGATGGCCCCCCCCCCCGCCGCACACACAGCCGACCCCACACCCTCAGCACCAGCAGCGGGGCCGGCCGGACAGCCTGGACAGCCCGCGGCGGGACGCACCCATGAGGAAGTCGAAGATGGTCATGTCCATGATGTCCAGGATGCGGTGGCTGCGGTCGTACGGGGGTGTCTGCTTCACCGCGGTGCAGTAGTCGGGGTCCACTTCCCACCTGCAGGGAGCCCGTGTGAGCAGCCCGGCTTGGGGCGGAGGGGCCCACAAAGGCTGGGCTTGGAGGAATGATGTCACTACAAAACGAAGCGTCTTCGACTGACACCCCCAGCCCCCCAGGCTGAGGCTGTCTCACAGGCGGCGGCTGGGAGGTAATGACGCCACGCCACCCCCCTGGACTGGCCGCCCCGGAGATGACCTCAGCCCAGGTGCCAGGCTTCCGGAGGGCACTCTTAGAAAGAGCCTGGGCACCTCACCCACAGGTGGGGTGGCTAAGAGGACAGGATGTTTCTCCAGCAGGAGGACAAGCGGAGCGGGAGGGACGGACGCCGTGTCTGGACGCTGAGGGCCGTGGTTCCAGAGCCCCAGGGGCCACGTCTCGTTCTCAGAGGAAGGACGCCCCTCCCAACCACCCAGCACGCAGTGGCCATCACACGTGGGCAGGGCCCTCACATCCATGTGGCCATGGGCGAAGCCCGGCCCCTCTGAGCTTGTCTTTCTGCTGCCAGTGGAGAGCAGCAAGCCCTCCCGGGGGCCTGGCTCAGGGCTGCCACGGCCACGCTCCGCCCACACTCACTCCGCCTTCTTGCGTTTGTGGTACGAGCGTCTCCATGGGTTCCGCCACGTCTTCCTCTTGGCCAGGGACAGGTCCGGCAGGAAGGCTGCCAGCGAGCCCTCGATCTGGTCCGGCTTCCCGCACAGGGCGTGCTCCGTGGAGCAGTAGTAGGAGCACTCCCCGTAGAAGCACACGTTGTTGGCTGGCGGCAGAGGGTGCGCTGGTTAGTGGGTCCCGGGAGCCGGGCCTCCCCCGCACTCTCAGATGCATCTCAGCAAATCCTCCAACCCCGGGTTACAGAAAAGGAGGCTCAGCCGAAACCGGTTTGGCTCAGCGGTAAAGCGTCGGTCTGTGGACTGAAAGGTCCCAGGTTCGATTCCGGTCAAGGGCATGTACATTGGTTGTGGGCACATCCCCAGTAGGGGGTGTGCAAGAGGCAGCTGGTCGATGTTTCTCTCTCATCGACGTTTCTAGCTCTCTATCTCTCTCCCTTCCTCTCTGGAAAAATCAATAAATTATATTTTTTTAAAAAGAAAAGGAGGCTCAGAGAGGGCAGCACACCTGCCCGAGGCCACACAGCTGTGAGCGTGAGTTAGGGTCTGAACCCGGTTCTTTCTGCTCACCCTCAGCATTGAGGGACTGGAGTGAATGGGAATCCTGCAGTCCATGTTCAAGAGCTTAAAAAGGCATTCGTACTATTGAGAACGTGAGGAGACAGTCCCTGGAGCTTGGAGAATGTTTGCAAACCACACATCGGACCAGGACCTAGTATTTATCACATACAAACAACTCTTGCAGCTCGACATTAAAACGATAAATAACCCAATTAATCCGTGGACCAAGGAGTTCAGTGGTGTTTCTCCAAAGAAGACCCACAGATGGCCAGCGAGACGGGAGATCTCAGCGTCGGCCACTAAAGAAACCAATCATGTCCACGCAGCAAGGCCCACTTCACACCCACGCGATCCCAGTGACCATCAGAACAGGTAACAGGTGTCCTGGGGTGTGGAGACAATAGCACCGACACGGGGCTGGTGGGGACATGAAACAGAGCAGCCGCTGGGAATGCAGTAGGATGTTTCCTCAAAACGTGAGATACGGAGTACCCACCGGACCCAGCATTGCCATCCCTGGGCACACGCCCCGAGAAGTGAACACAGGCGTGCACACGGCATGTAGCTGGCATCCATGGCAGCTCTGTTCCCAGCAGCATAGACTGGAAACACACCACGTCCATCACGTGATGATCGGATACACACAGGTGGTCCATAACGCCACGGAGCAGCAGGCGACCTCACACCTGCACCACATGCTGAGGCCACGCAACTGTGTGTGCGTGAGGATCTGAATCCAGGTTCCTCCGGGCACCCTCACCACTAAGGGACCGGAGTCTGTGGACATCCCAGTCAGTGAGCCGGGACCCTATAAGGGGTAAGGCTCACACACTCAATACATGTGAATGAACTGGAATGCATGGGGCCCAGCAAGCGAAGTCAGACCCAGAGGGGCCGCACATTGTGTGACTATTTATGTGAAATGTTCAGGACAGGCAGATCCAGAAATACTGATGGGGGGAGGGGGCAGCTGGGGTGACAGGCAGGGCTTTCTTCCGAGGGAGGGAAACAGTCTAAAATTGGATTGTAGGGATGGTGTACAACACAGTGAATGTTTTAAAAACCTCTGAATGGTGCACTTCAAAATGGTGAAGTTTACAACACGTGAATCATCTATATATATAAAAGTCTAAGCAACCGTTCAACTGGTAGCTATGACATGCACTCACCACCAGGGGGCAGATGCTCAATGCACAGGCATGGGAACAAGGAACAGACTGATGAATTTCAGAGGGAAAGGGGGAAGGGGGGAAAGGGGGAAGAGATTAACTAAAGATCTATATGCATACTAGAGGCCTGGTGCACGGATTTGGCAGGGTATCTCAGACTGGTCTGCAGGGACTGGGCCGAAACGAACAGTCCGACATCCCCAGAGGGACTCTGGATTGCGAGAGGGCACAGGCCAGGCCGAGGGCCCCCACTGGTGCATGGACCCGTGCACCAGCCCTCTCATGTCTCAGTAAAGACAAGTCATTTAGAAACTGCACTTGGCTTGTTGCCCAGACCCGCTCGCTGCCACAGCTCTTGGCGTAGCATCTCTGATCGCCGACCGCGCCCACTGGCCTGTGTATTCCCTCACCGGCCGTGCTCATGACTCATCACTTTGTGGAGAAACTCAGGGGCCTGGGGTGTAGAGCCCGAGCACCCTGAACCCGACACCCACGGCACATTCTCAGCACCTCTGACCCTTCTCTGCGGCCCCGGGACAGCCCCTCAGTGCATCTGCGGTGAGAGGCCAACGGAACAGAGGCCAGGGCTGCCGGGGAAGGAAGAGGCCAACGGCTGAACTAGGGGGCGCCACACGGAACTGGTGTTACTGCCTTAAATTGTGAAACTTTAAAATGTGTCACTAGAAACATAGCAATAAAAACTGCACAAGGAAGTGGCCAGGAGCAGCCACACAGCCTGGGCAGTGGAGGCAGGTATCCCAGGAGTGGCCCAGCCTGGCCCCTGGCTGCAATAGGGGGAGCAGATTTCGGGAGCCGGGGGCTTTTCCAGAATGAATTCTTTCTGCCTTTGAACAAAGCATGTGGCAGATGTCACCGCTATGCCTGCCCAGGGGGCAGACGGAACAGGAAAGCACGGGGGAGGGCCCAGGCGGGGTCAGAGGGCACTGCCGGCTGGAGGCCGTCCTCGGCACAGCCTGTCACGGGCACGGAGCCCGTCTCATGCAGCCAGCCGGGCTTCCCAGGCACGAACCTGGGGAGATGAAGAAGGTTCTCCACAGCTTCTTGTCCCGCGTGACGTCCCGGATCTCCCGTGTCATGTTGACCATCCTGCCGGCCACAGGGGGCACACGGCGGAAGTCCAGGATCCTGTGGGAAGGGCACGGGGGTGTTATCTGTGCCCGTGGCTGCCGCAGGGGGCACCAAGGGAATATGTTTGTCTCTGCCTCGGGCCCAGGTGTCTGCCTGGTCTGCAGAGGACTCTGCGTTGTCACCAGCCTGGGTGTCGTCACGCTGTGGGTCTAGGACACACACACATGCTGGGGCTCCAGAGGACTGGGGAGGGGGGATCCTCTGGACCCTGTGGCTGACCCCAAAGCCAGGCCCACGAATTGCCCCTGGGGGCACTGATCGTCCATCCCACATGGCCCTACATTGGCCGCCTGTCCAGCTCCCGCAGCCAGGGGCCACGTGGAGCCCAGAGGAACCCGTACTGCGGAGGAGGCTGCCCCCAGGACAGGTGACCCCGTAGGGGGCCGTCTGTGAGACGTGGTTCCTCATCCCATCTCACCTCCCAGACACACGCACACCTGCAATTCCTTGCGCATCACTGAGCTCCCGGCGCTCCTCCCCCTCCCTCTTCCCTCTTCCTCCTTCCCTCTTCCCGGTGCCCACTGCCACCCCCCCCCCCCCAGGAGCTTGGCCCCATGGCACCAGACCAGCGCTGTTCTGGTGTGGGAAGGAGCACGTCCACCTGGGCTGTGCCCTGAGGGCAGGGAGTACTCTCTCCTGGGAGAGGCGTGGTTCTGAGCGTGAGCAATCAGATGCCAACAGCGCCTGTGCTCCCTCTGGACGCGGGTGCAGGTGGGCCAGCTCACCTGTCCAGGTGGAAGGCAGCGATCTCCGCATTGTGCCTCTCATAGTCCGAGAAATAGAAAAAGTCAGGGGGTGTCTCCTGCTCTCTCGTTTGCCTGGAAAAAGGGGACAAAACAGAACAGGCCACTGAGAAAACCTCGGGGGAAGGGTGCGTGCGGCTCCTACGCTCTAACTGGGCTCTGGGGCCCGGCCTCCCCACCCTCACTCCTTCTCACCCGCTCCTTGGTCCCTCCCCGACCCAGGACTGTCAGAAACTCCTGGTGACCCCCAACCCTGCCTCCTCCTGCCCCTGCAGCACTGGTGTCACGAACCCTCAGCAGCCTTGCCCATCTCTACACATTGCCTATGCTGGGCCCTGCACCCCCTCAACCCTGCCTTGGCCCCTGTGCCTTCCTGGCAGCCAGTGAGAAGGCTTCTCCCCCGAGAAGCTTGGCACCATGGCACTAGACCACTGCATGGAGCGCCGGGCAGGAGTGCCAGCCAACACCTGCTGTCCATCAGGTGTGTAATAAGCAGATGCACAGAGGAGGGACTGATGAAGAAGCACAGGGAAGAGGCATAAGCCTATTTACAATGTCTAGCTCTTTTCACTGTTATTTCTTCAATTTCCATCATTACCACTACCTCCACCATCATCATCACCACCATCACTATCACCACCACCATCATCATCACCACCGTCATCATCGTCACCATCACCATCAACACCACTATCATCACTATCACCATTACCATCATCACCATCATCATCACCGTCATCAATTACCACTATCACTATCACCATCATCGTCACCATCACCATCACCACCATCACTACGACCACCATTACCTCCATGGCCATCGTCCCTAACACACATTGACCTCTTATTGCCTGATGTGCAGTGGCAACACCTGTGATGCTAAAAAGTGAGCATTTCTATCTGGCAATGCTTTGACCTTTGTTCCTGCCTTCCTCTGAGGAGCCAGGACCTGGATGGCAGGTGGCTCTGAGCCCTGTTGCTGGGAAGAGTGCAGCCACTTCTTACGCCTGTGACCAGGTTCCAGGAAAGCTCCTGGTTGCCTCCCTCCTCCTGCCTCGGGGCTTCCTTCCGTCCTGGGCAGTTCCCAGAAAGGCAGCTCTGTCCCCGCCCCGAGGCTACACCGGCAGCTGCAGGCTGTTCTGGCTTCCCAGGGCCCCTTTCCGGAAAGGCCCCGAAGTGCAAAGTGGCTGTGAATGCTTTTCTGTCTGCCTTCACTCCAGAGGCCCTGAGGTGCTCTAGGTTCCCAGCTTGCTGAGCACACTCCACCCCATAGGAAGCTTGTGTGTGGTTTGAAGACTTCTCAGACTGGGAGCTCCTTGGAGCAGGGACCCACTTTACCCTGTGAGGCCCCCAGGGCTGAGCTGGGTACTGAGGAACACCCAAGGGGAGGACGCACACAGGTTGGACCCTGGTCAGCCTCCCATCCTCTGTTTTGGCAGACACCCATGGGTGAGAGCAGAGGCCGGGTGGGCAGGCCTGCTACCTTCTTGGCCCGTTTCCCAGTTGTAAAACACATCATTTCTCCTCTCATCCTCACAAGGTGCTCAGGCAGGGCTCTGGGGTGTGGCTGGCTGGTACGGCCCTTCCTGTACTCAGAGTCAGTCCCCCCTCCCCCTCTACACACACACACTCACTCGGGGAGCAGCAAGGAGGAAAGGCTGGGACAGATTTGTAAGGCCCAGTGGTGGTGGTGGGGGGGCTGACAAGCACACTTGTAGCATGTCCTGCAGGGACGGAGGGAAGGAAGGAAGGAAGGAAGGAAGGAAGGAAGGAAGGAAGGAAGGAAGGAGCAGCCCCCCGGAGAGTCCCCCACAGTGTCGGCCTCCACGCGCCCTCTGCTCAGCTCTGGCAGCTGTCCCTGCGTCCATCCATGCCCGGCTGCCTAGCAGGGACTCACGGGGACACGTGGGGTGTCCGCACCCCCCTCCCCCCCACCTCCCGGGCTGCCCTCGGACCAGGTGGTGCGTCGCCGACTCTGCCATCGGGGAAAACACTTTGGAAAAGTACTGAACCCACTGCCCTGGGCAGGAGACTGGACTTGGCTGATCCTGGTAACCTGGCAACCACTCCTTCCGCCAGGTGTCCTGGCTGAAGGTGTGCCCAGGTGCGGAGGACAGGCCGGCCCAGGGCATGGCCCGCCCAACAGGGCTTCTCCCTGGGGAGGGGGGATGGACACGGGGGAGGTGGTGCCAGGTGCTGGGGTCGGCGGAGCTCCGAGCTGGCACCTGCCCGGCATAGCAGGGAGACCAGAGGCTGGACAAGCATTTCCTGGAGCAGCACCCAGAAGCCCAGGGCCCCAAGTCAGCGTCTTCCCTCCGCGACAATGAGGAGCTGCCCTTCTTGCCAAAGACTCGCTGCTGGTTCCCTGTGGCTGCTGACGGATGCCCGCAAGGCTGGTGCCTGAGGCAGCCTGGGGAAGCGTGTGACCTCAATCTGTTTCCTCCAGCTCTGGGCACGTCACCTCACAGGAAACGCATCACATCTAAGAAATGACAGGGTCTGCCGAGACCGGTTTGGCTCAATGGATAGAGCGTCGGCTTGGGGACTGAAAGGTCCCGGGTTCGATTCCGGTCAAGGGCATGTACCTTGGTTGCGGGCATATCCCCAGTAGGGGGTGTGCAAGAGGCGGCTGATCGATGACTCTCTCTCATCGATGTTTCTAACTCTCTATCTCTCTCCCTTCCTCTCTGTACAAAATCAATAAAATATATTTAAAAAAAAAAGAAAAAGAAATGACAGGGTCTTGTGGGGAAGTACCTGTTTCCACAGAAGCCAAAGGCAGCACCTGGTAGATGCTGGGCCATCCCTAGCTGCACGATCAGGCCTGGGGCCCTCTGGTTCTGACCCAGGCCCCCGCCTTACTGACACAGAGGTCGGAGGTGGAGAAAGAGGGAGATGCGTGTGCAGAACCAGAGGATGGACATGCAGATCCTGGGTAGGAGCAGGTTTCTCTGACCCAGGTTTGCGCTCCTGCTCTGAAATGGATTCAGTACTTTTCCAAAGTGTTTTCCCCGACGGCAGAGTCAGATGCTGCAGGTGAGGGTCCTAGTCTCTGAGCAGCACAGGCTCCATGGCCCAGAGCTGGGCGTGCGTGGCCTGAAGTGCTGGCCGCCAGGCTCAGGGGGCACAGGAAGGGCCGGGGTCTGGCTGCAGGATCAGTCTCGTGTCTGAGAGAGACCCTGCTCTGTGGGGGGACCCGTGAATGACGGGGCTCCGTGGGAGGACAGTCACCGCAGAGCCCCAACAGCTAGGCCCCACACTCACCAGCCCCTCAACCTTCCATATGTCACCCCCACACAGCCCCCACCGTTACTGTCAACATTTCAATGTCCTTGAATCTGTGCAAAACTCAGAACTCACATTTGTGTTAAAAACAGAGGAAATGGCCCTGGCAGGTTTCTCTGTGGTTAGAGCATTGGCCTGGGACTAAAGGGTCTTGGGTTCGATTCTGGTCAAGGGCATGTACTTCGGATGCAGGCTTTGTCCTTGCCCTGGTTGGGGTGCATGTGGGAGGCATGTGTGTCTCTCACATCGATGTGTCTCTCTCACATCAATGTTTCTTTCTGTCTCTCCCCCTCCTTTCCACTCTTTCTAAAAATCAATGGGAAAACATCCTTGGGTGAAGATTAACAAAAAAGAAAAAGAAAAAGAAAAACAGGAAACTGGCAGCATGCTCCCAAGGCCTGAGAGGAACAAAAGCCGATGTTATCCGGCTCCTACCAGGAGCGGCGTGCCCACTGAGCAGTTCCTCGACTTCCCTCCTGAGTCCTCGCCACCTGACGTGGCCCCACCCCCAGGCAGGGAGACGGCCAGGGCCAGCCGGAGGGCTCAGCCCAGAGGCCCGACAAGGCCCTGCTTCAGCCATGGGCGCTCTGCTCCCAGCACCCTCTGCCGGAGCGACTCAGGAGTGAAGTTAAAGAGAAGCGAGTGAGCCTTCCCCAGAGGCCTGAGGGCACAGGGCCCTGCTGTCCCTAAGCCCTGGGGTGAATCGTTTTATTTACATGTGAATGCACTTCCTCTGGGTGCTGAGAGCTCAGCTGGCGGGCACAGCAAGCCGAGTGCTGAAGGGGGGCACCTGGATCCCAGGGAAGGTCTGCGTGGCCCCAGGAGCGAAGGGGAGAGGACCCCCACGAAGGCTCCGCCATGCTGTCCCCCAGCAGCAGTCCTCGCCCCCCTTTGCTGCTCCTGCTCGCGCCTCCTCGAGCTCCTGTGCCTGCAGCTGGTCCTCGCGGTGGAGGACTCAGGGCGGACTGCCAGGCAGGGGGCAGGGGGCAGGGGCGCGAGGGCCATCGGCCAGCCTGCTGCTGAGTGTGGGAGGCTCAGGAGTCACTGTCCAAGGCTGTGAAAGGCCGTTGATTTGTTTCTCAATGAAAAAGTCCAGTTTCTTCTGTAAAAATGACCCATGAATGTGGAGACAAGCCGTGTCCCACAGCTGGGAGTCTGGGGGTAAGTGAGCCTGTTTGCTGGGCGTGGGCGGGGCTCCACGCTGCCACTCCCCCCCTCCTCTGCGGACTGGGGCCCAGCCAGAGGCCTTGCCCGGCCCAGGGTACCTCTGCCTGAATCCCCTCCAGGACTCAGCCGCTGACACGTGTGTTTATCTGTGTGCATAGCTGCCGACTCACTGAGAATGGAAGCTCCTCCTGGGACCTGGTCACTCTGAGTGCTTGATGTCACGCCAGGTCTGAGTGGCCACTGATGACCGTGCCAGGCAGGGCCATGGGGTGCTGGGGAGGGATGAACCCGCGTGCCAGAAAGTGTAAGGGGAGGCCCATCTCGGCCGGGCCCACAGCTCTGACCCAAGGGGGCACGGCTCGGGCGGCTTCCTATGGGCGCATGATGTCTGGCGAGGAACCTGGCAAGGGCCCCACGAGGACACTGAGCTCCTGAGTCAGGCGGGTGGGGGCTTGGAGGCTGGCCCGAGCTGAGTGTGGACACAAAAGGGTCCTTGTCCACCTCCGGCCAGGCCTGGCCTCCGCGGGCTCCACACCCTGCGACGGGCTGTTGGGCAATGTGTTTGCCTCTGGGCTGAGTGAGGGCCGCAGAGCAGAGAAACTAGTTATTTATCAGAACAACTC